CTTCATCTTGAACTATCCTCTATCACGATAAATATAACTGCCAAGCTAAGCTTGGTGGTCTTGTTGTTCTGATAGCATAGAAGGGCAGAGCTTGCAACTCCATCATCCCCTTCTCCATTCAGCAAAAGGGTTTTCATAACCACTTTTGAGTCTTACAAGGGAGTCCCCAACGTGATAGGATAAACTTCCGATTGACATCGTGTGACCAATTTTAAACGAAACAAGAAGATAATCAAGAAGACATCGACAGAGGATCGTTACTTTAAGCGGAAAACGGGACGAATTCATCAAATAAATCTGCGACTACTCAGCGGCATATTCAGTTATTCTGTTGATCAACCAGTCAACCTTCAATAAACAATCCAACGACACAAACAACGAACCTCTGAAAAGAAAGTGAACACATTGACTGAAACGAGTATCTTGAAGAAGGCAGCCAGTTATTGACCAGCAGAAGGAAGACCACCAAAGGATCTGGATAACTAGGATACTGTTTGAAGAGAACTCCGGAACTATTCGAAGAAAGCAGCTGCTTATTGACCAAAAGAAGGAAGACCACCGAAGGATTTGGATAAGTAGATTCTGTGAAAGAAGAAATTCCCAGTGTTAACTGATTTATTTTATTTTAAGAAAACCATAAGCTTGCCCTGGTAAAGAGACCAGAGACCATAGTATTATTTGTTTCTTTTTCAGAGCAACCGTTTGTTTAGGTATCACAGGAGCGTACAGTGAGGAAAGCTAGGAACATCAATCAAAATCAACATGAGTCTACCATACAGTACACCAGATTTGGAAGATGGGTTTGCACCGTCAACCCCTTTTAGGAACCGAATTTTCGACCGACCTTCAGGATCATCATCAGCTTTCAATTGGAATCCGGACACTACTTTGCCACCACCGAAGGATAAAGGAAAGGGAAAAGCAAGTGAAATGCGGGATACAACGGAGGAAGACTCAGATGCAGGCGATCCTACACCTCAAGCACACAACTTACCTCCTCTGTCTGGATATGGACTTCACAACACCCAGAATGCAGAAGAGCCAGTGTATAATCGACAACAACAACAACAACCAGCAAATCAGGAACCAGCGTATCAACAACCAATCCCTCAAGTTGCACCAAGAATTATCAAGGAACCTGGACTTTTTTACGATGGCGAAAACTTTGGAAAGTTCTTGATGCGGTTTGAAAGAGCGGCTAGGGCGTTTAATGCAAGCGACTACGATAAAGCATTACAAATCGGGCGATTCATGAAGACGGAGGATCTTAAAACTCAACTAGAAGCCATGAACGGGTTTGAGAAATGTGAATGGAGAAAATTACGAAAGGAGATGGTCGAAACCTGGGGAGAATTGGACAATACGATCCTGTACACCTGCAATGACCTGGTTAAGGTTGCAAAAGAATTCGGAGTAAATGGCGGAATCAAGGATCATCGGGAATTCAAATCTTACTTAGGAAAATTCACCACCATTCTCAAGTACCTAGTAACTAATAAACAAATTCATCAGAAATCAGACGCCGCAATACTATTTCTGAGCGCATTTTCCCGCGAAAGTCAATCGAATATCAAACGTACCTTAATCAGTTATGATTTACTTCCAAAAGGACCGGACGGCAGCAACTTACCTCCACTCTGGGAAGACTTGGTTGAAGCATCACGACTGGAAGTGCGGATTGTGGAACCTGGATATTTTAACATCTCGGGATTTGGCGAAGCCAATCAACTAATGCAGAACAAACTAAATGCGCAGAAAGGAAATAGTCAACGAAGAGATCAGATGATTGCGGAAGCACCTACGGGCCAAGCCATGGACAGACAAGTCGAAGATATGGCACGAGAAATTGCCTCACTCAAGTCTCAGTTGAAGAGCATAATACCTGCATCCTATAATCAAGCCGGATCCAACGAAAAATCAGAATTTACTAGAGGAAACACCAAACCTTCAACACCTTTGTACAAAACTCAAGTTTGTTACTACTGCAAGAGGGAGGGACACGGAACCTTTCGATGTCAAGAACTCTTAAAGGACAAAGAACAAGGATTAGTTAGGCGTAACGGAAAAGACTGGTATTTACCAAATGGACAACACATACCTTGGAATCCTGCGAGGCCTATCAGAAAAGTAGTAGCTACAGCATCAGCGGACCCTCAAATGCAAGAAGCCGCAAGAAAATTAGCAGAATCCCTTAAATCAGGAGAAACTCAAGCACCTGCTACAATGAAAACCTCAGCTCAAACCATTGATTGGGATCCACCACAACTAGGTGCAGAAAACTTTCTAGCCAAGCACGCAATTACCCGACCCGAGGGCCAACGAGGAAGACGCAGTGTTCGGATTCAAGAACCAGAAAAAGATGACATGGACGTTGATCAGGAAGACGAGCTCGCCGACATTACGGAGGAAACACCTAAAACACCTGTGGTAGAGAAAGTGTGGAGTAAAGAGAAGCCAGTGAATAAAAATAAGGCTGCAACGCCAGAAGAAGCTCTGCTGCAAGAGTTGGATCATCTAAAAATTCCCACAACTTTTGCAAAACTCACGGCTATTTCACCAACCTACACGGAACAAATAATTGCAAAACTTCAGAACCGACTCCCAGGAAAGAGTAGTGCGACATATATTACTACGGAAACCGCAAAAGTCTCGGCAGCTATGACTACTCCAGAGGTGGAAGACCCGACGGACCCTTGCTACTATAGCTGTGCCCTAGGATACGTAACAGCCGAAGTTGGGGGAGCCAGCGTGGAATTTATGGTAGATTCAGGATCCATGGTAAACGTTATGCCTCGATCAGTAGCAGAAGACCTGGATTTGGAGCTAGTACAAGTAGACATACCAATGAAAGGAGTTGGGGGAGCAAGGTGTGACCTAAATGGGGTAGCTGAAAATTGCCCAGTTGGAATTGGAAGATTCTCCGGACCAGCACACCTGTTTGTTTCACCCAAGGCTCAGGACTGTATTTTGGGACGACCATTCTTATTTGACTACGGATGCACTCTGGAATATCATGAAAATGGTGAAACTCTGTCTTTCCAAGGAACAAAGGGACGAAGGGTGTCAGTACCATTAGCAAGAACGGGCCAAGGAAGAGGCTGGAACAACAAGAAGGATCTCAGTACCAATACTGTGAAGATGCAGGACAAAAATATACGACCAAATGAGGATCATCGAATGTTCAAAAATAAATCAAATCAGTCTTTTTTATGAATTCCGGTGTTCAACTACGGAAGTACTCACTTAAGCTAGTCAGGAGAGTTATATTCAGAACACCGGGCTTCCTAGACTGGCTCAAAACTTTTCTTTTGGATCTATTCAGAAAACTACCAAAGCTAACAAAGAGATATTTTGCAAAGGTAATGTTATTAAAAAAGAATATTCTGATTATTTTCCTTTTACTTTTGAGAATTTGTAAAACAGGTGCAGTCCAACTGCAAAAACTCAGGACAAATAGGATTCAAGACCCACCAAAATTGAATTTTACGGAGGCAGAAACTTTCAGAAAACCCACCTCCTCAACAATCGAATCCAAACCATTGGAACCACTTGGCTACATGGATATACCAGATCAGGCGGAGAAATCAAAACTATCTGGGAAAAAGGCTTTACAGACTAAAGATTTCCACCTTCCAGAAATAAAAGAAAACCCTCAAAATTTTCCCATAAAATCAAAAATCAGCTGGATTCAAGATATCACCAAGTTCAAAGACAAAATTTTCAATAAACATCTTTTCAAACCTCATTTGGATTTAGGCGACAATTTAAAAATGAACTACATTCATACTCTACAACCCAAGATCAATAAGGACACCAACCCTGAGGAACAGAAGGAGGATCACATCAGTATTTCCAGCTTAAATAAAATCAAAAATTTCAAAATACCCAGTCAACCTACCTCAAATCAATCTACTACATCATCAGTTCAACTTTTGCCAATTATTGAAGATGAAATCAATATTCAACCTAATCCAATTCCACCCGACATCACACAAACATGGAGGGATTCACCAAAGAAGCTAGACAATGAAAATATTGAAACCAGGAATAATTTAGATGAATCAGTCAAAAATCACTCTCAAATTGAATTGAAAACAAAATATTTCTGGCTCTTACTTTATTCACTTAAGAAAACCTTTTCTCAAATTTACCTAAAACCAGAACTCTCAGAACATCTATATCAAAAGTTCAAACTCCCAAGGAAACTTGTGGGAGTGGGTTGATTGTTTTCCAACATTGATTTCTATCCCCAAAGAGTCAAGAACATTACATCAGTTCAAATTCTAAATTTCCACTCTCAGAATCATTTTTTTTTAAGTTGGGGGAGGATCACCTTTTTTACTTTCCTCAAATTTCTCTATTAATTTTTTATTCTCTATCAATTTCTTACTTTATATCAATTTTTTTATCTCAAACTCATTTCTGGATGCAGTGTCTGTTTCGTTTCTTATCTCAATTTTTTTCCTGGGTCTATTTTTTTTCTCTTTCAATCAGTCAATTTGCTCAATCACTTACTTATCACCTTCAGCAGTTTTTTTAAGTTAAAAGTTGAGGAAAAACTCATTAGTTGGGGGAGGAATATTTCATACTTGACTCACATTTTTACTATCCTCACTTTCTTTTTTTTTTTTTTCTTATCTCTACAATTTTCAGCCAAGAGACACTCATCTCTTCATCTCTCTGCTCAATTTTTCTTTATTCTCTAAATCATTCAAATCACATACTATTTCCAATCACTTACTCTTAGACTTGCTGCAAATCCACTATCTTGAAGGTTGAGGACAACCTCATAAGTTGGGGGAGGGGTGCCGTTTCTTGTCATCTTATTGGGATTTTCATTTTTTTCTCTATCATCATTTCTAAAGAAAAAACCACTCAACACTTTTTGGCTCAGCTCTGATCAATCAAGTAGTTCCAAGATGGCAAGGAACTGCTCGCGATTGAACACTGAAGGCCTGGGGAACTTGTACACTGATGGCGGCTTGGTTAAATAACATATATAATTATATTATTGGACCTCTGGACCAACGACTTTGCTCTAGAATGGTGATAGCTGGATCGCGAATCAACTCTGAAGGCCTAGGAGTTTGTATAGGATACTGATGAAGAAGGACTGGACGCGAATCAATTGGGAGGTTTTTTTTAGACTGAATGAAACTTATTATCAGTCTCTGGCGTCTTTGGAAGGATGACTTGAATCTAGGATGAGAAGGGAATGCTCGCGATTCTATTCTGAATACTCAAAAGAAAAGTGGCGACCTGGTCCAACGATTTGGACTGCTTGTGATTCATTCAAGGAGGAGACCAGGGTGTAGGCTTGATCGCGATCCAACACTGAAGCTTAGGACAAGGATAGGATACTCAAATGAACCTCGTGCGATGGAGCCCTTGGCGACCGAGTGGTGACGAAAGCACTTATTATACATCAATTTTGAGCTGAACCATTAAGGCATGGAAGTACTATGGAATGGATGCAAACGGGTCACAACCTCTGGATTTGGCTTGGGTTGATGATCTGTATCTAGAATGCGGCTCAGACTTTTCAACACAAACAAATACATGGCGATGAAAGCAAAAACTGTCAATTCAGTACCTATCGGAGTATGAAGAGGACAGCGACTAAGACAACGGGTTCAGGACTGGATTTGATTGAATCAGGAAAGCTTGCAGACGATGCGACTTGGGAACGGTCTCTGGATTTTGCTTGAAGCAGACAACATTGATAGCTAGAGACGATCGACTATGAGTGTAACAACCGTCAACCTACAGCCTGAATGGCAGCCCAGCATCATTATCCTCACATCTAGAACCACATGAGAAGTTACAAATATCAATGATGAAGAAAGGATGAACTTACCTCAGCGTCGGACACAAGAGTGGGCTCCAGTTGCCGCGTGCAGGGAAAGAACGACCAGAACTTACATCGTCGACCGGAGTCGGATTCGATATTGCTTGGTAGCTACAAGGTGCAGGGATCTCAACAGGCGATGACATGTTGGAGGTTTCGGGCGACATGGTGGTAGTGGTGAAAGAAGAAGTACAGCTCAAGAAAACAACCCGATGGACGTGGTGAGTGTTGGAAGGGGAGTTGATGCAGCTGGCTGGGGAAGTAGGCTGGTGAGGAAAGCGAGGAAACACAGAAGCGAGGACGGTATTTATAGACGAGACGATGGCGCTTGCGAAGGTATCGAGAGGACCGAGATAGACCCACGGCGGTTTCCAGCAACGCAGAAACATCGTGGGTAAAGAGGACTAGCGCAAAAAAAAAAAAAAAAAAAGGGGGGGCTTGGAAGGATCGTTCGAGGAATTCGAGTGGGTCAGCTTTCAGATGACAAGAGAGATGAGCTATAAGAACAAGACAACGATAAAGTCATGAATTAGAAGAACGTGGATCACTTACCTAAAGCTAAAAGAGCACGAATTCGCCGAGAAGGACGCTAGTACCGGATAATGAGCGGAGACGCGTGCGCATTCGGGCTGGTTGCAGTGAAGAGGCTGTCAAATAGGGAAATCAACTAGAAGAGTAGAAGAAACAAATCCGCTTACCTGTCAGATGGATCATCAAATTGAGGGGCGGCCGCGTCGTGAAGGAACCAAGAAGAAAATGTGGCGCGAAGTGACAGGCCGGACGAGTCGAATCGAATTCGAAGCCGAGATTGAGGACTTGACAGGTCGAACGAGGTGGCTGAAGAGCAGAACCCACGGGTGGATCACAATGGAGAGAGGGCACACCCCCATCGCCGATCGGACCGGACCCTGTCACACCTGTGACAGGGCCGCTACAGACGGACTACGGCGCGAAGGAGTGTTGTTCCAACTAAAATAATATCCTAATAGCAAGTCTAGTCCGCGAGCGGTGTAAGAACACAAGACACTCATTTGAGCCATGGGTTCAAGCCCCATCCACAACACTTTTCAACATGGACTCTAAGACTCTGGAGCAGTTTTTTTAGTGACTCATGGCTGAATTTTCAGACATTAATTTTTGCCTAAGTTTTTTCTCCAAAACTATATGTACCACTACACAAAAATCAATTTTTGCTGAGGACTCAAGTTCAAACCCAGTACTGGATGAAAATAAAATAAAACAAAAACAAAAACAAAATAAAATAAAATAAATAAAACAAGATAAAAACATATTTTTTACTACAATCAAAAAGTTGGACAAATAAGCGAGTTCTCCGGCTGTAAGATTCATGTACAATACTCGACAAACAGATTCACCACCGGTCAAATCCATAAGTCCTCTGGACGCACGCTTTGTCAAAACTCGGGGACACAAATTCATCATCAAATCAACACCCTCAAGCCAATCAGACACACGCAAGGCCAGGCTCTTTCAATTTTTTTCTGTAGATACAACTCCGAAACACAGTCAAAGTCAGAATTGACTGGGGACAGTCAATAAGTTGGGGGAGGATGTGGTAATTATTCCTGTGTTTCTACGCCAAAAATATAAAAATTTATTATTATCTCTCTAAATATTAAAGATATGGTAAAAATAACATCAGAAATGAATTTCTCAGGTAAAATTACCCCTAGTCACCCACTACAACTGACCCCATATCTCTCATAGTTTAGAAGTTACACAGATTTCAACCTGTCACGGGATGTCTTTTGGATTCTTTACTCTCAGTATGGCTTGTTTTGAATACTGGATGCATATTGAATATTGAATTCCTTTGTGTTGTATTGAATTCCTTTATTGGCACATAGTGCATATTGAATTCCTTTGTAGGTGCACATGCATTCCTTTGTAGTAGGACCTTGTAGGCTAGCCAAATTCCCTCAAGGCAGTGCTCTCACCAGCCAAATTCCCTCACCTGCATGTACTAGACTAGCTAAAATCCCTCATTGGATCTTCAGGCCAGCTAAAATGCCTCAAAAGCCTGTACCCTGGGGCTAAAATCCCTCACATTTGTCTATATAAGGAGGCCTCTGCCTGCCAGTTGTTCCCTCCATGATCCCACCAGTGGACCAGATCATCTCAACCACCCTTACAGATTATATACAAGTGACAGCCATAACAATACATTATATTGAAATACAATCATAACACTTTCATCATCATAACAAGTGCCAAGTGCCCATAACCTGCCTCACATACCATTACTGGTTGAAGCATAGCGCTCCCAGAGCTCCAAGCCTTGGTTTTAAAGCTTTGAACAACAGCTTCATCAATATAATCATCACTCATTTATAACTTCAGACCTTATACACATCAATCGGAAGCTTCATCTTGAACTATCCTCTATCACAATAAATATAACTGCCAAGCTAAGCTTGGTGGTCTTGTTGTTCTGATAGCATAGAAGGGCAGAGCTTGCAACTCCATCATCCCCTTCTCCATTCAGCAAAAGGGTTTTCATAACCACTTTTGAGTCTTACAACGGCGCTATCGCCGATGAAAGAAGGATCCGAGTTCGAAGAAAAGCCACCTCTGCACTAGGGGGGCTAGCATTGTTAATGAGGATCACGGGATAGATAACCCACCCTATAAGGCAGCCTTATGTACCTTGCGCCACACACTCCCAGAACCGCTTCACCTCTCATTTGGGGGTGGTTAGACCCCAGTAATTCGTTCTCATCATTAGTCTTTGTTCAATTTTTTTTCTTCACACCAGTCTTCTGCCCTTTTTTTTCCTGGGCTACATGAACATACAAGATATCTGAGTCTCTCATAAATAATTGATGAATCAAAATAAAATAAATAAAAATAAAAATCATTACATAAGATAAAAGTACAAAAACAATTCCTCTACATATAAAAAACCATAGATTTTTTTTTGTTTCTTTTTTTCTTTTGGCACTATTTTCAATTATGGGCTTCCACATTTATGACCAGTTTCTTTTCTCTTTCCAGAAATATTGTCTTTAGAATTTCAGGAGTGACTTTTCCTTTCTTTTTTTCTTTTTGGATGATGGGGACATCATCTAATTTGGGGGTGGATGTGGTAAGCCACTCCTGAAACTTCAAAGTTATCAAGAGCACAAATCACAGAGGAATCACAGGATCAAGACACCCCAGAAAGCTCCCCAGACCCCCAAACCACTCATGAATCCCCTCAGGCACAATTCACATGGATAATATAATTTCCCCCTCCATCCCAACAGAAACTCCACACCCTGAAACTCATCCCCCTCCAAACATATTCCATTCTTCTTTCCCCTGTGTCTCACACTAGTAACAATCCCCTTGCTCATGAAACTGTTATCTCCTCCTATTTTCTTCCATGGAATATTCTGCCCCTTATTTGTTTCACACTAGTAACCTTGGGAGCATTTTCCCACTGCCTGTTTCCCCTGTTTCTATGGATAAATATATTTTCTCTTGTTTCATGCTCTCATAGAATGTTCCACTTATCTTCCAACCACAAGCTGGCCACTCCCCAGAATTTTGTATATAAGGAGCTTTGTTTTTCCCCTTCATTTGTTCCTCATCAGATCCTGCCCCAGCAATCCAGATAACTGATCACCCATTATTAGCCAGGTATTTGCCCATCAACATTTGGGATACCTTGATTTGTGAACAAGTATATTTAGACTAGTAAACATAAGACATATTAGACATACCATTCTCAAGAAATCTCCAAAGCCACACCTTTCCTTAAGAGTCCATACTCTTATATTTTCTTGTTATCAGAGAGGCAGCCCAATAAAGCACTCATCCCTCTCAAGCTCTATTCCTCCCAAGAGTAGTTCCACAGCGGATGCCGCTTTCCCCGGAAAAAGCAGCCGGATATCCGCATCCGCGCGGATATCCGGATGCAACGCGACCATCTCTAAACTGCATATGTCCCATTTTTCAATTTCCTTTAGCTTTCTTGATCTATTTATCATCCTCATCATCATCTGGGAAGTTTGGATTGAAATACTTTTCTTCAGGCTGTCGGTGTCTGAGGCAATGGTCCTCACTTGTGATGACCCAGGCATGGGCATCACAGAGTTTACATATGACAGCTCACTGGATACACATAATACAGCTAGACTTTTCAGGT